CCTGGCTTCTAGACCATATTCTAGGCTCTAAGGGCAGAACACAGACAAACAGACACACAGCAATATAGATATAAATCAATCCTAAACAATTTTTTTTAAACTGGGAAGAAGTGAAGCATTGCATTCCCCTTTTGGAGACTCCCCAGGTACATCAGCATATTGTGATGACTATCTTGATTATTATTATTAAGAATAATAATTTTATGATGCTGGGTATCAAACTCAGAGCCTTGTGGATACTAGGTTAGCTTTCTGGCACTTAGCTACATCCCCAGAAGCTTATGATTACTTTCCTATGTCAATCTGTCTAGGGCATGATATCCAAATGTGTGGTCAAATACTGGTCTACAATGTCACTGTGAAGAAATATTTTGATGGGATTCACATTTAAATCAGGTGACTGAGTGAAGCAGGTACTCAGGATGGTGTGGACGGCTCTCGTCTAATTCACCTTAAACAGAAAGACTGACCTCTCCACAGGAAAAGGGAATTCTGCTAGCAGACTGTCTTTGAACTCAAGCTGCGACACCGTCTTTTCCTTGGGTTTCCAGTCTACTGACCTACCTGGAGATTTTGAACTTGCTACCTTCCACAATTTCATAAGCCAGTTCCTTAAAATCTGTTTCTGTCTCTGTCTCTCTCCCTCCTCTCTCTCTCTCTCTCTCTCTCTCTCTCTCTCTCTCTCCCCCCTCTCTCTCTCTCTCTCTCTCTCTCTCTCTCTCTCTCTCTCTCTCTCTCTCTCCCACACACACACACATACACACTATTTCTCTAGAAAACCCTGACCAAACATACATACATTAAGGGCTCTGAAAAGTTCTACAATTAAAAATAAAAATTTGGGCCAGAGAGATGCTCAGTGATTAAAAGCACCTGCTGCTCTTCCAGAGGACCTGGGCTTGATTCCCAGCATCCACATCAGGCAGCTAACAATTGCCTGTAACTCCAGTTACATAGGATCCAACCCCACTTCTGGCCTCCATGGGCAGGTATCTGCACATGTGTGTATATAGGCACGTGCACACATATACATACACACACACACATCTTTTTAAAAAATTTAAAAAATAATTTTAAATCTGTTTTACCCAGCATTTTCCCAGTTGCTTAACCACAAACCTTTTCTTACATAATACATATTATCTTGAAACATAGCTTGGAAAGTGCAATTCTAGCCAGTATAGTTTTCTATAGCTTGTCCAGCAATATTGAACTCCCGTTTTATTCAGAAATGAATCATACAAGTACTAGAACAAAAGAGGCCACACGCTCTTTTCTTCTGCACATGGCATAAAAGAAAATAACTTCATGTCATTTGAACACAGTGAGGCAAAATGTCCACTGTGAGCCAGTTTCACATGTAGTTTATGTCTTAGGAAAAAATAACTAGCTGTGAAATAGACCCATAGCTGTGCTTTCGTAAAATGTTCCTTTATAGACAACTTAGTCTGCTTGGGCCGCTATAACAAAATACCATAAACTTAGTGGCTTATAAACAAAATGTATTTCTCTCAGTTCTGCAAGCTGAGAAATCCAAAATTAAGTTCTAGAAGGTTTGATGTCTGTGAGTGTGCATTTCTGGTCTCATAGATGGTCTTGTCTAGATTCTTCCACATAGCAGATGAAGCAACTTGTACTAGATCTCTCTCACACGCTCTCTCTCCTCTCTCTCTCTCTTCCCCCATTCCTCTCCCTCTCTCTTTCTCTCTCTCCCTTCCCCCCTTCTCCTCCCCCCACCCCCTGCCCATCATTCTCCCTCTTCCTCTCATCTGAGGTTGTAGTCCATCATGCAGGAGGGTGTGGTTTGGCCAAATAACTCATGGCAGGGGAAGCCAAGAAAATGCCTGCACCTCTGGCTTTTTCCTCTTTCCCCTTTTATTCCACCCTGGCCCCAGATCATGGGATGGTGCTGCCCACATTCAGAGCAGGTCTTCTCCCCTTGGTTAATCCTCTCTGGAAAAAAAAAAAAAAAATTAGTCTCTTTTGTAGGGGCAGTAATCTCATGAATCAAGGCTCTGTTCTCATGATTTACTCAACCTCCCCCAAAGGATTTGAACACAGGAATTCAGGGCAACCACAAACATTGAAACCAAAGTAATAGATATTGATGGGCATAGAGCAGGTATATGCAATGTCACTAATCACAGCATAATTAGCCTGAGACAATGTATGAGAGGCACGTAGCCTAACAAGAAAAGCAGAACCCATGTCTCCTTTCTCTTGTATTTTCCCTTCTTGAGCATGTTTCTGAAAATGGTCCTCACTCACCCTGGCTCTTCCTTCTGAACTCCGGAATTCATTCACGACTCTATCTCCTACCAAAACAGACAAATGTGACTTCTTTCATGAAAAATGCAGGCAGATGCCCTTGGGGACAGTATCATTTATTTTAATGAATGCCTTTATTTCTAGCTTACATGACTGTAAGGTCTTTGTGAACAATGAGCTTTGAACACAAAATATCAGAATGTAGCTCTCTGGCTTACTGATTGTTTTTAAGGTAAAGAAAGTCAAGGCGGTCTCTCTGACATTCTCCCACCCCATCCTGAAGTCACCTGTAGATCAGGATTCCCGTTGCCCTTCAAGCCTAAAGTAGACCAGAAAGCCTAAGAAAGGAAGTCTGACCTCTCTCCTTTCTATCCTGAAGATTGTCATGTGATAGGTGGCCTTCTCATGCCTGATGGAAAAAAATGTCCACATACAAGGATTCCAAGAGGAATCTGGACAGAGCTTTCTGAGTTTCCTCCAGTTTATCACCATCAGTTCACACTCATCTATCCCCCAATCAATTCATCCTCATGGCTTGTCATAAAAACACAATTTCCTCTTGAGTCTTTATTCTGTTTATAGCAATACTGAAGAAGGAACCCAGGGCCTTGCACATATCAGTCACATACTCTACCATACTCTACCAGCCACACACCCGTTGTATGTGTAGATGTGCCATGCTTGTCTCACTGATTTGTCTTTTGTCATAGGAGTCTATGAAGTGCTCATGTGTATATATACTTGTACATGTACACATGCATGTGCACACACACGCACATATACCACACACATGAACACACATGTGCATGCACATGCATCTATACATTCACTTTTCTTTCAACTAAAGATAAAAAGCAATCTTGTACAATGGCATGAAAGGAGAGAGAGGAATGGTCTGTTGGGGAGAGAGGTTGAATGCAGTTACAGATGCACCATTTTCTGGGTCAAGTAGAATTGTGCAAGTTTTCAAACCTATAAAAAGAAAAGCAGAGGCTCAGCCTTAATTCCAGAAATGATTGCTTTTCACTCACCTGTTATGTATGCAGCCTAGCACTGCACTGCATGCTTTGAAGAGGGATTTCTCCTCCAGAAATTAGCATTAGAAAAAAAGGTATTATGAAAAAAATGATGAGTTAGAGATAGGATTTTGTTTTAGGAAATTTTGCTCAAGCAGTGTGTGTGTGTGTGTGTGTGTGTGTGTGTGTGTGTGTGTGTTACACTGAGAGTGAGGGCAGCACGGGTGAATGTCAGACCTGGTGATACTCTTCCAGACTTTGAGTCCTTACATGCATTCCTCTTTTTCAGGAACAGGTCAGGATGGAAAGGATCTTGGAGTTGACAGTTTCCAGAGGAGGATCACTGCTGTTGAACTATCTTCCAAGCATGATATGGCCTTTGTAACTTTGAAGTCAAAGCAGCTGGGATTACCGGCACAAGAGTCTCACAAGATTGGGCCAGTTAACATTCCCTTGTTCAGGGGGAAGACTCACAGGGCCTCTCTCCTTTTTGAGAATAAAGGGTTACTGATTGTTGAAAAGGAGACTCTCCCTCTGTGGTGTGATTTCCCATGCTCCCACAAGTAATCTCAGTTAAACTCTTTGATTCACCAACTTAGACTTGTGTGGAAATGTTTCTTTGTCCTATGGTTACCATCTCTGTTGGGAATAAATAGAAACAGATTCCTAGCCATGCAACAATCAGACACTCAAAAGCTAAGCCAGCCTATACCATCACTTGAAGAGACTGTTGATGTTAAGGTACCCAGGAAAGCACCTCCAGGGCTCCCCATGAACCCTCCTACTTCACCCTGTTCTCATCATTCTACAGGCAAAGATATCATCTAAACCCAGCATGGATGTGAGAAGTCAAGCCCAGGGGGAGTCAAGGCATTTATTTACCATCTCTATATGACCTTCTGCCCTCTTCCTGTTGAGTTCTCTGGTTGATGGCCAAGTTCAAGTCTCAACAGGTGATTCCAGCAAAGGAATTGCCACCCAATCCCAATCTCTACTCCGACACCGTGAGACCAGGGAAAGTCACACTAAGAATTAGTAAAATATGCACAATAAATTTCACACCTTTGAAAAATCTAAACTCTCTAATATAAAATTTGATTTTTGAAACAAAAAATGGGTATTGAATTACCATCATAACATTAAATGATGGGGATGGTTTTAAAAGTTGCCAGACACAAAGCATGCTTATACTGGCACCTGTTCAGATCAGATCATTGATAATGCCCTAATTAGGATGAGGTTGTGTATTAAGCTGAATTGAATTTCCTTAATGTGATCCAGCGATCGAAAGCCTGGAGGCTTGCCATCAAAAAGAGCTCTGCAAATTCTCTTTATCATCAATGAAAGCATTTGTTTGAAGACACCTTTCCAGAGCCAAGAGGCAAAGTCAAGGGCCGCGTGAAGGTGCTGTATACAGTGTCCAGCGTGACGGTCTACCTGGGGCCTGAGGTACCTCTAAACAGTGGAAGATAAAAATCGAGCCACGAGGAGCCATGAGAACCTAAGTTGCAAAAACAACCTTGAGTTGCCTTATTACAAATTCATTCTTTGGTTTTTCAAGAGTCACCTGAAAGTCACCTCTACTTAAAATCCTTGGCTCAGGAGCTCTTTACTGCTTTAAAACCCAAGTCTATTAAAATTCTTCAAGTAACCGACGATGAAAATCCTAGTCAATTTTCTTTGTAGGGTAGGGAAGAAAAAAACCCAATGCGTGAGTCTACTTGAAATCATTTTGAATTTTAATCATAGCAAATGTGTTTTAACAGTAGTCATAAAATTAACATTACCACATATACAAAGGACAAGACACCAGTTTGGCATACAAAAATACCATATATTAAAATTGGGTTCATTGGAAAAACTCAGGATTGGCTATGACACTATCTAAACAGAGAGCAAGCAAGAGTGCTTTTTAAGACATTCAGATTAATAAACAGCAGCTTGATATCCCCTTTAACAAAGTCAGAATTTGGCAACAGTTGGACAACAATTTCTACTACAGCCCAGCAGCTCATTTATCTACAGGGCAATTTGGCCCTTTAAAAGAAAAACTTCCCAAATAAATAATCCACATAATTATAAATGAAACATGTCAGGGATTAGAGTTAACAACCTCGGAATAGCATCAATCTTGCCATTTGACTGGAGTATGTTACCAAGAGGCAGGAAGTCCACCTGTGGAGCTTTAGGACAAGGGAACCCTGGCAGTGGTTACATGGCATTTGTTAGGAATTTGTGACCAAATGCCCCAAGCTGAAAGTAGCCTCCACATCTGTACAGTCAGGTGGGGACAATACAAACAAGTGACAAAATATATAAGTAGAATAAATGGCAGCAGCCAGGATACAAACCAGAATAGTCTTAACTCATTTTTCCAACAGTAGTAAGAGTCTCAAGTGAAGACACACCCACAGATTAGGGGTTTTCCACAGCAAATAGGATGCCAGTGCTCGCTTGTACTGTGGCCAACTCTAGAGCAGCTCCAGAATTGTCTAGAGCCTTGATAAATCAAGAGTATCACAGAGGATGACGGGAAGGACGGGCACTCCTTGGGACCCCTTCATCAGTGAAGCACATTCCCTGTGTGTCTTGAGCTTAGGCCTCCTGAACTGAAGCTGGTGGTCCATGCTGGAATGGCAGGCCAGGCGTGCGTGATGAAGTCACTGCAGTTGTCATGTGCTGCTGTCTTCAGTTGGTTTCTACCATGGCTGATGTACAGTGTCCAGTATTCTTTGGTAGCCATATCCCATTACACTTTTCTCATCCCTTGTTAAGTATTTTCTCTTCACTGGGCATATCTGCCTATTTGTTCAGAGCCCAGGGATCTGTCTCTACCACTCCCAAATAAGGGGTCCTTAGTAGGTTGTATCTGAGTCAATCTAGCCAGCATAGTATAAGACAACAGCTACTGGCCTTCTCTCACTATTCGAACATAGATAACATGTATCAACTTGTTTCCTTGAAGGACACATTTGTCACAGTCATTTCCTTTGCTTCCACTCTTCACTCCCAAGCCACCAACATACTGAACCACCTACTTCTGGATTCTCAAAATGCAAACGTCAAATTAAAAACTGACCAATCCTTTGGAAAACTTGTGTTAGAATAACTCAGTAACTCATTCATCAGGCCTACTAGCCCTCGATCTAGTAATGAATTTGGAGCAGTGATCTGGGAAAACAGGGAGAGATAGACGAGAACACCACTGTAAAAACAAACAAAAATCCATGCTGTTGGGGATCTCAAGAGGCTCCTCAGTACTTTGCTCTAATTACTGATTGTCCCTAAAAATATAATATGAATAGTATTAAAAACCTTAAATTAGAATAAAATCCAGGTAAAGAGATGAGTGTTTGAAAGCACCAACACGTTGTGAGAGATACAGAGGGAGATATCCCAGGAAGTAAATAGGGAAAAATAAAAAGATCATTGGCCAAGCAAGCAAGGAAATTTATATAGAGAAATGGGCCACAGTGGAGGAGTTTAGGAATAGTGGTATACAATGTTGACACCTTGAGAAGGGACAAAAAATAAGCTATTTAGAAGTCAAAAATTCAACACCCCACTTGCTAGTTTCCTCAGTGATCAACAGCTTTTCAATAACACGTATACAGTAGAGCCCAACTCCACACACTGGAGATGTCTTAAGATCTTGTTTGAGTAGACACTCCCCAAGGTACCTGGTTTGACATAATATGTGCAGCTCATAGCAACATTTTGTGGTCCACAAATAAGAAAACGGGACTCATAACATTTTCTACTTTATTCTTAACTCCAATTACAGCTAAATTGTGTGTGTGTGTGTGTGTGTGTGTGTGTATGTGTGTGTGTGTGTGTGTAGTAAGTCAATTGTGTCAGAAAAATCAATTTCTACTTATTTTTCAAGTGTCTCAAGTTAAACAAAATCCAACAACTCAGCTTCATAGCTTTTGGAACAGACACCATGACTTCATTACCTTGGCTCTCCCATTCTTCTCTGGAGTGTTGTTTGGGTAAAAACCACCTTTTGGGTGATGTTTTACTGAGAATGAAAGGACTGTCAAGAAACAGCTTCTCCATTTAGGTCAAGGATGCAAGGTGGCCAGTACTTCTGGTATGAAAATAAAATGCTGCCTAAGACCATAGCATCTTTCTGAGGAAAGAGAGGAACTACCATCTTTTGGCTGTCACTTATCATACCAACAACTTTTGGCCTCCTAACTTTCTGAAGTCTTTAAAAAAATTTTTGGCAAACAAGGAAAGATAAAAATTTAAAGACAAACTCCAAAGGACAGTCTTACTCATTGAGTAGTTCTAGACTTGAATGACTCAACCCAATTCTGCCATATTAAAGCAAATACACTTGGTTCACATTACATTGAGGAAGCAATGAAGAGACTAAGGAATTTTGGCATAGCACAGATTCTCAAAGGAATGGGAGCTCTTTAAATGAAAATCTAAATGGGAATAAATGCCAGACTATCAGTAACAATGTGATCTTTTAAGAAAATGTCTCTCAAAATGAATTTTCTGCTTTCATCCTCTCACTTAAAAAGCAATTCTATAGAAGAGCTTCAATAACTTTCCAGTCTCTAAATTCCACTGGACTATGTATTTTTTAACTGTAAAAAAAAAATGTAAAAAGTGCCTTTGTGTAAAGTTTTGAAATTTTTTTTAATGGAAAGAAAAATTTAATAAAAGAAAGAAACTAAAACAATGTCGAATCTCACTCTAAAAATAGTACCTACATTTCAACCTGGCACCTGAAAAATGATGCCCACTTTTGCCTACACCAAACGCAATGACAAACCAGCCAACTTCAAGGACAAACTGAAACATCCTGAACATGGCAAGATGTGCTTGCTCTTGGATCTCACACCTGCCTTACCAATGCAGTGATGAAGTCGGGATAAGCAATCAAAAGTGAACGGGGATTTCATCGGGCTCTTATTTTTTTTTTGTAACATTGACTTTTGGGGGTGGGCACAAGATCCTAAACACAATTTCACAGCACAGGTCATGCACAGCTTGCAAGTCAAACATTTTACAGCTACTGTCTAATGACAAGTTTTGGACAATAGATTCACATGCAACTAATGGGCCCAGAAAGGGGTCTTAATAAAGCACTCTTTAAACTTTACTGCTCATTCCTTGGTCCAAAGTATCTAAGAAATAACCCCAAAGGGCAATCAATAAATTTTTATCATCTTGCTGGAGCTGAGAAGATTTTCTTAAGCCTAGAAAGGAATTTCTTTTTGAAAACTGTTACTAGCCCACAAACTCTAACCTCTTGATGCCATTAACCAACGAACCTCTTGATGCTATTAACCAATGTCGTAGCCACAAGTCATAAGACTAACTTTATATCACTTAAAATTAAATAAAATTCAAAAGCCACTTCTTTAGTCTTCCCCACTTAACTGCCTAACAGTCAATGTGACCAGTGGCTACTCTACTGGACAGAACAGATTATAGAACAATTTCCATCAACCCAGAAAGTTCCATCAAACAGTACTGATCTAGAAAATTCCAAGAGCTATACCAACACATGACTGAAAACACCCATGGACCTACTCTGTAAAGTCATGCAGAGGATTACATTTAATTATATTTCTAAAGAAAATACCTTGGATCTTCCTGACCAGGAAGTATGACTGGAACTCAGAACCAATTTGCCTTTTTTCATCACAACTTATGCCCCAGGTCATTAACAAAAACTGTTCAAAGATAATATTCTGGGTGGTGTACTCGGCTCTACTTAACACAGTAAGCATTCTCTTGCTTAGTCAAAATCATTAATAAAGAAGGAAACTCATGCTTCATAGAGGTTACTATTTACACAACTCTCACTGTCCTTGACATATTGGGGGTAGGGTCTAGGTCCTGGCCAGTGTTTTACACTTTTAAAAATTCAAATCACATGGTTTGAAAGTTTTTTTTTCAATATCTATGTCATCCCTAAATCAACCCTTTTTTCATCTGTCAGAGTCAAAGCCACCATAATAGGAAAATATCTCCAAAATAATCCTTAGAGCAATAGCTGGCATAGCATAGGGCATCCATGGACCCTGAAAAGAATCACAGCCTGACAGGGAAGGTGACAGGTCTAGGGAGGAATAACAGGGCACAGCAGTGCACAGGTCTTGCTGTCCTCTGGTTACAGAATGACAAACCTGCATGTTCCTCTCAATCCCTACCCCATGAGCGCATCTACAAAATGAACCCACTAAAGCTGCTTTCAGCTGTAATTTCTGTGCTTATCACTTTTACTTTTCACTGACATGCAGCTGTAAGCTCTGACTACTTGTGTCACATGGGGTAGATGGGTCGTTAGTGTTGTGAGTAAATTCCAGAAGAAGCCAGAGCAATGGGATACTGAATGACCTTAAAACATCATTAAGCCTATCGAAATTAGCAGGCTGATCTCTCTCTCCTTTTCTCTCTCTCTCTCTCTCTCTCTCTCTCTCTCTCTCTCTCTCTCTCTCATAGAATGCACTTCCTAACAAGCAACATGCAAACCATGGACAGAATCCATTTCAACAGCTTTAAATAATGTTTTTTACATCAAATACACAAACAAAAATTCTGATTTGGGTTATTTTCATTAAGTTGTAAGGTCAAGAATCTACCAGAGTGCAGATTAAATTTGCACTGCTTAATTGCAGTTCTAGCATAAGTCTTTTTAAAGTAAAAGTTTCGTGGACAATTTTACTCTACAGCTTTGTACAAAGAAACACAGGACATCGAATCATCACGTACATCAGTGTCTATATATATGGCCTACAAAGCAAGTAGGACTCTTATTACTTACGATACTACAGGATCAGTCATTTCCTATGGTACAAAAAGGTGTGCCCATATCACTCACAGACCTAATTTACATACAGTCTGGCTTAAAATTTGCAAGGGTAAAGTCCATTTGAAACATAGCATTGTTAATGCAACATTTCTCTCTCTCTCTCTCTCTCTCTCTCTCTCTGTATGTGTGTTTGCATTTTTCTATTTATCAGAAATAGAAATTGGGTCAGACATGGATTACAGCTGCTTTGGAGTTTGAGAAATTGACAGTAACCCAACAGTATATTATGTTATATAATAGAGGATAGTATTTAGTTAATATGATATCTAAATTATTATTACCAAATTAATCCCAGATTATTTGTTGTATAATGCCCAATAGCATACACAATAAAATGGTATTTTAACCTAATTCTAATTTAAGTCCTCAAATACATTTTTCTAAAGTTCTGACAAATTTGAAAGATTTGAAAAACCAGATCTCAATTTTATATTGTATTTTTATGCCAATTACATGTTATCTTTGTATTCTAGAAATACTTTTTTGTTTTATTTCACAGTAATTCCATCACTTTAGTACATGTATGTTGTGCTGTTTGAAGATAACAGTTAGCATACAAATAAACTGCCTCAATCTCACAGGGCTGTTTCCTAGCCTTGCTTTATAGAACCCATCCCTGCTCATCTTTGCCTTCCATTTCCAGGGGTTCAACAGAACTGCAAAGCACACATTTGAGTGGATTCCTTGACAAGTTTCAGTTGCTTCCTTTATTCCACAAAGAGTCTAGCTGAGGACTATATAGCTCACAGCTAAGGCTGAAAGCACATGCACCCAGGGATAGGAACTGACCATTTCAAATGAGCAGATCTCTTTTCATACATTCACATCTTAAAATAGTTGAGCATTTGTGAGAAACTGGTCCACTTACATCAGGAATGTGAGTTGTTCGTTTACCTTGCTGCTTTTCTAAATAGGAACATATTCTGAAATACAAAACATTTTCTTGCTATACCAACAAGAGAAAATTGAAATTCTAAAAGGGTTGACTCTTAGAAAACAACATCTCTCTAAAAATAACCATCAAAGACTGCCTATTAAAATGCTCGTCTGGGTGTGCCATTGGCTACTAACACGCATGACTTTCATACAAAATGTCCAAACTGGGTTGAGGGGGGTGGCACAAGCTCTTCTGGCACTCTCCATTTGTGCCATGCCAATACAGGACTTAAAACACACAGCAGAGGAGCAAGCAAGTGTGGGAGGTGATGTGTGGGAGACACAAGGGAAAGATCCAGGTGCCCACAAGGGGACCAGTGTTTTAGACATTTGACAACTTGTTCATGCCCACAAAGTCTTACTCCCAGGGTTCTTCTGGAAAGACTCACAAACCTGAGATAATCAAATTACACACACAAAACACACATACAAATTCACAATATTTACATTTTAAATCTTATTTTGTGAGATGGCTTGAGAGAAATTGGCATTCGGGCTTCCTGTGGGATTAGGCTTTCTCGTTATTTCTTGGTTTATCTTGCCCCTGTTGGCTTTCAGCTTAATAAACATGTAGCAAGTTCTAATCACAAGTGAAGAGAAAGGAAGGAACATGACAAAACACAACACGCTGGAGACACTTGTTCAAATATTTTCTCCAAAAAAAAAAAGGGTCTGTTTCAGTTATTTTGATTTGGGTGCCATTCAGAATGTATAAAAAGCCTTACCGAGTAAGTGAAGACTGTTGGTTTTTAAATGCAAGGAAGCCGACACAGCATGTCTTCACTGATTTTTTTACATGGATTTGAGGTTAATTCTACTGGCATACACAGCAATTTTGTTTTAACCTACCACCTATGGAATTTAGAGATCACACTTCACCCATGTTTTCAGTTTCACATCTGGGTAGAATAGGTCTATCTCAGGGACATGATTTTGGAAAAATCATAAATTACAGCCCATTGAATACACGATTATGAGAAAGCATGCAAACGTCTTCACAGCTGTCGCCATCAACTCTTGGAACAATTCTCCAGGTATCTTGGGACCTCACCTTCCGTCCTTGTCTTCGGGTGAATCAAGTGGCAAACCAGAGGCCAGTTCTTGCACCAAATGGTCAGTGTCACCCCCCCCATATTTCCTCACCGGGATCCCATCACCAACACCTGCTCACCCCCTAAGTTGGCACCCTCAAGAAGCATCCCTGCACCTGGCTTCAGCCACAGGATATCACAGTGAAGCGCTTAGAGATGCAGGACATGTTGTGCAGCACGATGCCCAAGAGGAAGACCAAGACACAGGCTACCAGGATGACAGTGCACACGCCAGACCACGTGGAACTCTTCACCACGCCCCGCCTGTCTGGCTCCTCCTCCACGGCCTCCTGGGGAGCCCCGCCCTGCAGGGGCTGCTGTTCCGCAGGGATGGTCACCACCGTGACGGACTTCTGCTGACTCCCTGGCAGCAGGCGGCAGCCCATGTCTCCCGGCAGCAGAGTGCGCTCCTTGGAGATGGGCAGGGGCAGCATATAGCACCCATTGCTTGGAAGTTTGATGAAGACTGGGGTGTGCTCGGAAGTGTGCGGGATGGCGATGACCGCCAGGACCTCGGGGTCATCAGGTAGCTGAGACACAGAGAAGCCCGGGGGCAGCTTGGTGATGCCTCGGCACCAGGGGCACCTCACGTCCTTCTGGCTCGTCCTCATCTGCTGGAGGCACACGGAGCAGCAGGTGTGCTTGCAATCCAGCAACTTGGGCCTTCGCCGGGGGCTGTAATAATTAAAACAGATCTGACATTCCAGCAGGGAATCCTGGGAAAGCGTCTCCATCGTGGTGAAGACAAAGGTGAAGGTCAGGAGGAAGGCGAAGGAGCTGGTTCTCAGAGGCCACCACTCTGGGTCTGTCTTTTCAGTGTCAGCAGCAAGTCACCATGCTCATGGGAATCTAACATTCGGGGATGTGCTCATTTCTGAGGAAGAAAAATAATGAAAAGAAGAAAAAAAACGGATTAATTTACTAAAGAAATTGCAATGTGGATATAGTTAAAAGTGTTTATGTCATAGCTCAAAAATCTCGTTCTCAGGTCAAACATGTTCTATAGGTTTCCTGCATCCTCTACCCTTTTTTAAATTGAGACAGGGTCTCTAACGGGTCTGAAACTTACCTTGTTCGCTAGGCTGACTGGCTGGCAAACCCTAGTCTCCACCCCTCCAAAGTTGGAATTACAAGTGAACACCACCATAGGTGGCTTTTTTCAACGTGGGTTTTAGGACTCAAAGCCAGGCAAGCACTTTACCAACAGGGTCATCTCCTCACCCTCACTCCACTCATTTCTAAAGAAATGAAGACCTTCAACAGGTTTAGCCAGGTCAGGCTTACTGGCTGAGGAGGGAGTTGTCTGCTGTTTCTGTTTTGTGCAGTTTGGTGGACCCAGAGTTGGCCTAAAACACAGGAGAGAAACTCTTGCTTCCTGTCAGTTTGTAGATTTCCTAGAAGTATATCTTTTTTCTTAGATTCTCTGACCCTCTTTTCCTGACTCTACTCGCCTTCCTGTAAGTATTCACTACCAGATACAGGCAACTTAATAAGCCAAGTGGTTTGTGTGATCACAGCTTACTCATTTTATATGGATTAGGACTGCTCCCTTCTTTAATTATATTTCTAAATTTCATTACTTTTAATAATCACATACATAAATTTGTAGGGCACGATATAATGTTTCAATATTTACATTGTGTAATGATTAAATCAGGGTTATTAGCATATCATCACCACAAACATCATTTTTTAAAATTTTATTTATTATTTTATGTGTATGAGTGTTATGACAGCATGTAGGTAAGTGGACCCGTGTCATGCAATGCCTGCGGAGGACAGAAGAGGCTGTCTGATCCCCTGGAACTGGAGTTATGGACAGTTGTTAGCTGTCATGTGGGTGCTGGGATTCGAACCTGGGTCTGCTGCAAGAACAGTCAGTATTCTTAAGCACTGAGCCATCTCTCCAGCCCCACATTTATCATTTTAAAGTACCTTTTAAAATGTTTTTCGTATGTGTGTGTGTAATGTATATGTACATATGGGTGTGTACATTTGCATGTGTGTATACACATGCATGTGGAGGTCTGAGGCTGATGTGGGAGTTTTCTCAATGGTTCTCTACCTTAGTCACTGAGGCAGGGTCTCACAATTGAACCCAGAGCTTCCTGATTTTAGCTAGACTAGCTTGCCAGCTTGCCCAGGGACATCCTGTCTCTGCCTTCTGAGCTCTGGAATTCCAGGAGACCGTCACCCCTCTTCAGCATTTAGATGGACACTAGGGGATCTTAACTCCAGTTCCCATGTTTACATGGCAAGCATGTCATCTGCCAGTGTCATTTTGTTATTGGTGCACATGAATTACGCAAAGGAAGTAGCTTCATTGTGCCATTTCCAGGCATGCAGACAATGTCCTTCTTTCTCTGAGGTGATTAAAAGGAACTCCACAGGCTGCAGCTCACAAAGCCATCTTTTTATCTTCTCCTCTAAATCACTTGAAGTAAGATAATCCTTATCAATTGTTTTTAAGAGACAAAGCAGAACAAAGCGAGAATCCAAAACAATAAACCAGAGTACCAAACAATAAATCAGAGTACCAAGGGAGTCACACTAATCAGAAAGAAATCACTAGCATTTTCCAGTCAGCTCTTTGAATTTCATTATTATTTAACTTGCCTGACTAAAAGCACATATTTTTAAAGGCTTTTTGGTAGTGGTGGGGAGTAAACCCAGGACTTCAACATGATAGGCATGAGTTCTAATACTGCTTGAAACTGCGAGCTCCAAAAAGCAGATACCGTTTACTTACTGATCAGAATGAAGTACTAGTGAAAAACTGGTGGGAAGACTGTAGAAACAGAGAATGTAGGCCTCTCTGAGGCTTAGGGGTCCCCTCTGCCTCTCAGATTTCAACAAATGCAACAACAATGGCTGTCAGAGTCTGTTTCCTGTGGAAAGCTTCCACATTCTGCTTCTTTGTATGGAGTTAAGATTCTGGAAAAAACTCTTTACCATGACTGGAGAAATAGTCCAAGATCAGACCTACACATAGAGGTAGAGTTAAAAACAAACAAATGAACAACCCACAAAACAAACCAGGTTCCTCTTTATTTTTTAAATAAAAAACTGAGACTTTAGTATTCCTAATTTCCTTTGAGAAATTAAAAAACATTGCATCCTCTGATATATAATTTGTTAAAATCAAAATAGTTGGATCCTCAGAACCCACTTAACAAAAGCCAGGCATGGTGGTACACTCCTGGAGAAGCAGATAGGAAGATTCCCTGGAGCTGGCTAGCCAGCTTGCCTAGCCTACTTGGTGAGTTCCAAGTCAGTGAGAGACCCTGTCTCAAAACAAATAAACCAACAATCAAAAAGCAATGGATGGCAGCTGAGGAACAATACTGAAGGTTGTTTAGAAAAAGAAAGAAAGAGAGAGAGGGAGGGAGGGAGGGAGGGAGGGAGGGAGGGAAGGAGGGAAGGAGGGAAAGAGGGAAGGAGGGAAGGAGGGAGGAAGGAAGAGAGAAATCAGTATGAGTGAAGGAAAGGATGCCAGCAATTATCTTGCTATTTCTCTGTTCTGTGACACTGGCTAGAGGGTTTTAGAAACTACCATAGTAACTCACAGGTGTCTTCCCTAAAGGTTGTATAGCTTTAGCATTTATGTTTTAGTCTTTGACAATGATGCCTTTTAAAGAAAGAAAATGCAGCTCAGTGATAGAATGCTTGCTTAGCAAGCATCCAGGCCCTGGATTCAATGCTTAGACCATCAGAAGATAAACTCAGGCCTGAGAAACTGCAGTGATAGAGTGAGGCCCCAGGTTACCTACCCCCAGTATTGTAAAGATTAAATAAATAAAAATAATTTAAAAATTCTCAGAAAACCTATACCCTAGGTACTCTTCGATAAGCCCAGCCAGGATAGCAGATCCCAAAGGAAGGAAAAAAGGACACAGGCCATTGACTAAAGACTGTTCGGCCTCAAGTTCCAAGTCAAGGACTTGGGTTTTACAGTGGGCAATGGAAAAGCACCAAAAACTTCAATAAAATGATCCATTCTGTCAGATTGGAAAGACTTATGGGCAGGCTATCACAACATCAGACAAAGATGGCATAAGTGACTTGTGTGAACAGGATGATGAAATGGAAGATGCTAGGAGGTCTTTTATAATAAGGACAAGCAAGACATTGCAGTGACAAGATCAGAAGGGTGAAGAAGTCAGTGAAGTCCTGACAGGGACACAGTGTCTCTGAGAGAAACAGAGATCAAATGCAATGAGTTTTTTTAGGCTATATTCCACTGCAGGTTCCTAGAAGATATTTAAATTATATAGGAAGCCATTACAGAGTCAGAAAGAGAAGCTGAAATGTGAGGCCAACATTGCAGAGAAAAGCCAATGCTAGACACAAGCAACTGGGAGATATTCATGGGGAGTGGGCCACTGGTTCAAGAAAGTTATTGCAGAGAAATTCAAAAGAAGAGAGTGGATGCAGTGCTGCAGTGGGGATCTAGAATGGAAGCAGAAACTGCAATGCATAGAAATCGGCCACTCCTTGTGGATTGTCCTTTGCAAAGCTATTGTTCTTTCCTTTATTTGAGGTTACTTACCCTCCCTATGCCCAACATTCCAAAGCGGGGACAAGGCCCCAGGTTACCTACCCCCAGTATTGTAAAGATTAAATAAATAAAAATAATTTAAAAATTCTCAGAAAACCTATACCCTAGGTACTCTTCGATAAGCCCAGCCAGGATAGCAGATCCCAAAGGAAGGAAAAAAGGACACAGGCCATTGACTAAAGACTGTTCGGCCTCAAGTTCCAAGTCAAGGACTTGGGTTTTACAGTGGGCAATGGAAAAGCACCAAAAACTTCAATAAAATGATCCATTCTGTCAGATTGGAAAGACTTATGGGCAGGCTATCACAACATCAGACAAAGATGGCATAAGTGACTTGTGTGAACAGGATGATGAAATGGAAGATGCTAGGAGGTCTTTTATAATAAGGACAAGCAAGACATTGCAGTGACAAGATCAGAAGGGTGAAGAAGTCAGTGAAGTCCTGACAGGGACACAGTGTCTCTGAGAGAAACAGAGATCAAATGCAATGAGTTTTTTTAGGCTATATTCCACTGCAGGTTCCTAGAAGATATTTAAATTATATAGGAAGCCATTACAGAGTCAGAAAGAGAAGCTGAAATGTGAGGCCAACATTGCAGAGAAAAGCCAATGCTAGACACAAGCAACTGGGGGATATTCATGGGGAGTGGGCCACTGGTTCAAGAAAGTTATTGCAGAGAAATTCAAAAGAAGAGAGTGGATGCAGTGCTGCAGTGGGGATCTAGAATGGAAGCAGAAACTGCAATGCATAGAAATCGGCCACTCCTTGTGGATTGTCCTTTGCAAAGCTATTGTTCTTTCCTTTATTTGAGGTTACTTACCCTCCCTATGCCCAACATTCCAAAGGGAAGCCACACCTAAATTATTAATATGTTAACTGCGATATCATCTTCCTTTACAAGATTCAGAACATGGTGAGTTTTAAATTACATCAGATTATGATGGCACTCAAGAAAACCACCCTCGGTGTAAATGCAAATACAAATGTTTCATGGCACCAATATCAAAACTATCAATTTACTGGTTAATCTTCCTTCTTTCCATATTTATCTCTTCTGAATAGTGGTGTGAGAAACACTTTAGCAGAGTGGAAAGCACGGTAGCTTTGGCCTCTAAATTTTTTTTTTCTTTTTAAGATCAAATCCCAGTTCTGTCTCTAATCAGCTATGACTATAGCACCAGGGTAAGTCACTTGCCTCTCTGAGCCTCCAAGCTTAGAGCCAAGCATGGCTGGTAGGAGCCTGGCTCAAGGTCAAGTGAGTTCGCCTCTCTGCTCACGGCAGTGCAGCATGTGATTTGCCCAGGCAAATATCCAG